ACTTGGGGCCTGGCATGAACAAAGCCGGGTCTCGGCTGACCCTGGGTCACTGCGCACCAGCCTCCGGAGGACGGGCAGTCGGGGCGACGCATGACGCCTCCGGGCTGTCCACACGGGGCCGCGGCCGGGGCCACGAGAGAGTTTCTCTTCTCGACTACGGGTTGGTTTCCGCTTCCGCACGTGGCTCTATGATCATTTATTGCTTTTATCTTTTTGATGCGCTTGATACTGGAAATGCAACGCCGAGCTGAGGGCGGACACGGTGGACCGCCCGTCGGGACGTCCGGGGGCGTGCGCTTCAGCGGCTCTGAGCTCAGGAGGGCCAGCGCGTCCCAGGGGATCCCGCGTCCTGACGCTGCAGGATGGTCACCCCGCGCCCACACAGCCGGGACGTCGAGGCTCCGAGAGGCTCCGAGGGATGGTCACGGCGTGAGGAGGACGGCGGCTTTCCCACTGAGTAGGAAGACAACCCTGGGTGAGTCTCCCGACACCACCCGGCCGCAGTGTCCCCCTTCCTAAGATGGGTTCTGACGAGCAGGGGAGTGGGGTGATGCAGGGTGGCTGGGAACCAGGGGAGCTGCAGGCCGCTGGCTCCCCATGAACATGGCCGGGCGCGGGGTGGCCCTCCTGCCTGGCTGGGCAGGGACACCCCTCCCAGCCACCCCAGCTCCCCCCGAGAGACAAGCCGCGTTCCTGGGTCAGCAGCCTTGGAGGAGGAAAACAGTCACGAGTCCAGCCCGGCCGTCTAAGTGGCCCCGGAAGACCCCGGGAAGGTTCTCTTGTACGTTAAAGTCAAGTGGGGGCTGCAGAGTCCCAGCCCGGGGGGGTGCTCTTTCCTTTTGGCAGGAAGAAGGCAGGCGGACACCCTCCTCTGCGATGCCAGCTGTGACCTCGGGACTCCAGTACGTCAGCCAGAGCCCGTCCGTCCTGCGCGCCCACAGACGAGGTGATCACGCCGCCCACCCCTCAGGGGACCTGCCTGCCGCCCAGGAAGACAGTCCTCCCGGAGCCCGGGGCCAGCCCAGCTCTGCGGCCAGCGAGCCTGGGCTGGTGCAGGCGCCCCGAGGCCCCCGCTCTGAGCATACAGTTCATGTGAGTGGGACCCCATCTGCACCCAGTGAAGGCAGAGCACGGGGGAGCATCAAACACCAAGTTCCCACAGACAACATCTGTCTCCGTGCAAACAATGGACCATTATCTTGTAAATAATTCTGATTAAGCTGCTGCTTTTCCTCCTGAAACTGGTGGTGGGAAGCTGGGAGGAGGCTGCTGGAGCTCGGGCCCTGCCAGGACTCCCCCTCACCCCTCGCCCCTCACCCCTCGCCCCTCGCCCCTCGCCCCTCGCCCCGCCAGCACCCGGCTCCGCAGCCCCGGCCAGCCCGGCCCTCCCTCCCGCTCCTGCGGGTTCTCGCTCCTCCATCTCTCCTCCTTCCCTCTGTGCACACCTGTTTTCTGTCCTCGTCCTTCTCCCCGTCCGCACGCCGGTCCGTCCAGGTCTTCATCTTGGACGTGCTCCTCCTGTGACCTCTGCCTCCACACCCCTTCCCGCAGCCACGTCTCTGACCTGCTCCTGGCGACTGTCCCCCGGTCCGGCCCTTCCTGCTCTCGGCTCCGCGGTGGCTCTGTCCTCCCCTCTTCCGCGCCCAGGACGTGCCCCCCCCCCCCGACAGCCCGGACACCCCGTGGTGGGAATGATGTCCGGTCTGGGAGCTCCGAGGCTGCAGGCCCCACGCAGCTCCCTGATCCCTGGGCTGTCAGCCTGGGCAGGTGGCTGGCGGCCCCCCTCCCCACGGAGGGAGCCTGGGGCCCCAGTGCAGGCCGCCTCTGGTTGTGTGCGTCCCGGATGCCAGGTCTGCCCGCCTGCCCGCCACTTCCCGCATCTCCTGCTGGAATCCGGAGTCAGGGCAAAGAGCTGGGCTGCCCCATGCCACCCACGTCGGGGAACCCAGGTCCTCGAGAGAACCCGTGACTTAAAGTCAGTTGCCCTGACTGTGACTTCGAGAGGACACCTTAAGCCCAAAGCTCGCACACGGCGGAAGGTGGGAAGCTGCCGCTCCCCCTGGCCGACCACCTGAGAGGTTCACACACCCGCACCGCGGACCCTCTGTCTCATCAGAAACAGGAGAATCGGCACGAAGGCAGCCGGTGGCTGCGGGGGGCACGTGGCTGATGCTGCGGAGTCCCGGGGAGGGGTTCCCTCTGGGCGGGAGGAACCCGGCTCGGCTGTGACCAGGCCCTCGCGCGTCGGGTGCACATGGACAGGGGTGGCAGGTGCCAGCTTCCCGGTACCCTGCAGGTCCCCAGCCACCGGGCAAGGTCTCAGCGGGGTCTCAGTGCTCATGGGGGCTCTGCCAGGGCCTGCTTGGTGGCAGATATCCTAAAACAACTGAAATGTAGGTGGCTTGTCCCTCCAAGTCACACACATATTCACTTTGTTCCCTCGAGGGTGCACGGGGGCCCAGATGTACCCACTTACATTCAGCAGAACGCCAACGCCGCGAGCGAGGGGCGCACCCTTGGAGATGGTGTACACTGTCCACACCAGGGGTCCCAGGAGCGGAGACGATAGCAGACTCTCCTTGGCAAGGAAGCCCGGACAGCGTCACGCGCCTCAGCCCGCTGGGGAGGACACCGTGGCCGGCCGTCCCCGCTGTCTGTGTCCCCCCACCCAGGACACTTGAAACACTGAGTCACAGAGGAGAGCAACCGTCCATCCTATGCAGAGAGCGATCACTTGTTAAATTGAGTGCGAATTCTCTTTCCTCACTTGGCTGCCTTTCTCCCTTTGGGTGGATCGTCGAGAGCACGTTATATTAATTTCACGACAACAGGAGTTCAAACAGAAAGCGCGGCCTCGTGAGCGGTGGGCGGCCGGGCGGTGGGCGTCTGCACAGGCCACGGGCACGGAAGGCAGCTCCTAGGAAGGCAGGTGTCCGGGCACGAGGGGCAGCCTTGGAACAAAGCGGCTGCGCGGAGCCCGGCGCCCCCCGCGAGAGCACACGGCGCCCTGGCTGCGGGCGTGTGGCACACGGGCCCCATCGCCCTGAGGAGTGGGGGCCGCGGGAGCAATGATCGTCTCCCAAAGTTTAGATTCTTCCGGGCGCCTTGGAGAACCTGGATGCTGTCGAAGCAGACCCTGCCCTTCCCTCCCTCGGCCTGGGCCCTCCTGGGGGCACCCACCTCCTTGGGCTGCACCCCACCTACAGAGGAGCCCTGTCCCCTCGGGCCAGCAGGCCCCTCCCGCTGGGCGAGGACGGGTCTAGGCTGGACGGCCGAGGGCAGATCCAGCCCAACAGGTGGTGTTTGTGGTTACCCCGGGTCTGAGTCCACGCAGGTGGGCTTGTGATATTGTGGGGGGCAGGAGGCAGAACCACTCGCCCGTGGAGCCGTGAAGGGGGGCAGCTCATCGCAAGCGTCTGAGTCCACAGCCCCGCCCTGCGGGGGGGGACAAGGAGGTGGGTGGGGAGCCGGGTGGGATGGGGGCGCAGCCCCCTGGGGAGGAAGTCGGGAGCACCCTTGCCCTGGAGAACGGAGGGGCCGCCAGGGAGCGGGCGGCGTGGAGGAAGGAGAGCAGCAGAGACCTGGTTCCGAGGCCCAGGGAGCCTTCTCACTGTCCCTGCAGGACTGGGGTGACTGGTTCCCGTCAGTGCACCCCTCCCCAAGGCCGGGCCCTGGTGTCAGCAGCGGTCCCAGTGAGCAGAGTGACTGCCAGGCGGACAGTGCCCGGGCATCCGCTGCATCCCCGGGCAGAGGCGCCTTCCGCAGTCTTCTGGTCCTGCCCACCCGCGTCCCCGAGCCCGTGGCCCAGGGGGTCCTGAGGGTGCTCGTCTAGACCCAGGGCGCGGCAGTGCCCCCCGGGAGGGTGCAGATGTGGCCTCTCGAGCCAGCCCGGCTTCAGGCCTGAGGGGAGCACACGCCCCTCCTGAGCCCTAGCCCCCAAAGTGGCACCAGCCTTGGGGGGCCACAGGAGGCCAGAACTTGGGGGATGTGGGTGAGTTCTCCCTGGCACTGCACCCACTTCCTGGGGCAGCCCGCACACCCCGTGCCTCGGTTTCCCCCACCCACAGGGCCTGTGAGCAGTGGGGGTCCACTGTACAGGGACGTGTACCTGTGTTGCCTGGCTCTCCCCACCAGCCACGGCCGCCCCCCCAAATCAAGAGGTCCCTTTACATGTGTGCATTTGTGAACTGGCACCTGCGGGGTCCCCAAAGATGGAGGAAATGCAACACATCGCCTGGCCAACAGCGGCCCCCGGGGTCCTCTTGAGGCGTCCCCCAGCGGGCAGGACGCGGGGGGACCGGGGCGCATTAACAAGGACTCGAAACGGCACTGCTGTTCCACAGCGGTTTTTATTAGCAATACCAAGTACGTGACTGAAGCATTGTTTACATTCCGTTTGGAGGGACCTAACTGGTAACTCAGCACACAGCACACTTCAGGGTAGAGTCTGACACTCAGGAAGCTACAGTTATCGGGACCTACAGGCCTTCATTCCCAGGAGCACCTCCGCGTGTCTTCCCTTCGCGCGGCCACACCGGCTCCAGGGCACGGCCACGCGGCACGCGCCCACACACTTCCTGCAACCACCGCTCGTCCGCCGCGGGCGCCGGGTGCCTGGTCCGCCCGCATCTGCTCCTGGCGAATGTGACGACCTGACAACGTTACACTAGCGGCATCACTGCTTAAATACTAAGGGCAAAGGTCACGGTGCACTGTTCTGGGTTCTTCTAACGTGTTACAAAGCACAGGACGGTCGGACACGGGACCCTGTCAGGGCGGCCTCGGGGAGCTTCAGGGAGCTGGAGTCGTGGAACCCGCGGCCGGCGTCTCACAGGCGGGGGACCCCGGTCGCCGGCGTGTGCCGCTCGGGACCCGCGGCTCTGAGGGGCTCCCGTCCCTCTCGGTGACTGAGCCTCGGCAACCCGCGGCCCCCGTGGGAACAGGGGCGGTATTTCCAGCCTCCCCGCGTCTTCGCCGTGCACCCCGGCGTGTGTACGCACGTGCCCATGCCAACGGGGGTTACTGAGTCAACACATGTGCACACAGTCTTCTCTTGACTTTACACGCGGGACAGGCTGCAGGGAGCGCGATGGAGTCACGGACACACAAGGGAAGTCCAGCTAGACCGACTAGAACGGGGGTCACTTACCTGCAAGAAAATGTGCACATTCATTACACAGTCCAGAAACCAGAGGCTACAGACATTTGAAAGCAGGGCAGGGCCACCTCCCTCACTGTGGGGTGACGGCAGGAAGCGTGTGTGCCACCGGGTCCCTCTGCTCCGGCCACAGCGAGGACGGCACACGTGGTCAGGGCAGGTCAGCCACGGAGCAGAGGTGCCGCTGAGCCGCGCCCAGTGAGGAGGTGACTGCCGCTTACTGAGCCCAGGGTTTGACATCTCAACATGGGATAGGAAGGGCCTGTCTCCTCAGCCGCTAAGGGGGGCTGGAGTCTAGGTGGCCGTCGGAGCCCCCGGCCTGCGGCTCAGCAGCCGGCGATGGTGAGTGCCACGGTTGAAGGCCAGCTCGGGACCCCTGCCCAGCTCGGGACAGCGGTGGGCTCACACTGTGCCTGGCTCCTGGGGGATGGCTGGGCCTCCTGGGGGAGCCCGCATTTCCCAGGGTGTGGGTGTCTGTTCTGACAACACTCTCAGCACTGTCTCCCTCCCTCCCAGTCTGAGGTCCTGATCAGGAAGGAAAAGTGTGTGTGTGTGTGTGTGTGTGCATGTGTGTGTGAACATGTGTGAGGGTGTGTGTGCACCTGTGAGTGTGTGTGTGCGCCTGTGTGTGTGAGTGCACCTGTGTAAGAATATATGTCAGTGTGTGAACATGTGTGTGGATGTATGTCAGTGTGTGGGTGAACATGTGAGAGTGTGTGGGTTGTACATGTGTGGGTGAACATGTGTGAGCGAGCCTGTGTGTGTATGTGCGTGACTGAACATGTGTGGATACATGTCAGTGTGTGGGGTAAACATGTGTGAGTGTGTGGGAATAAACATGTGAGTGCATGTGTGTCAGTGTGTGTGCATGAACATGTGTGGGTGGATGCATATATGTGTGTGAGTGAACCTGTGTGAGTATGTGTGAATGCATGTCAGTGCACGGGTGAACATGTGTGAGTGGGGGGTGTATGTCAGTGTGCGAGCATGTATGTGTGTACATGTACATGTGTAAACACGTGTGAGCATTCGTGTGTGGTCTGTGCATATGTGTGAGTCAATGTGCAAGTGCACGTGTGTGCCTGCATGTGCGTGGGCTGAGCCAAAGGGCTCTGCTGTTCCTGGGCTCGGCCGGGCAGGAGGTCGTGCAATCCAAAGAGAACAGGGACACAGCGCCCAGGACCACAGCCCAGACCCTCTCCCGCTCGGAGGCACTGTCCGTCCAGACCGTAGCTTTTGGAGCCAAACCCACGCAGCCAGAGGGACGGACATAAACAAGGCTGAATGTCACCAGTGTTTACCGACTCAGACACCGTCCCTCTGTTTGCTCTGGGTGAGGCGTGGACCATCGGCAAACACGGTGGTGTCCACACCACAGCTCTTCATCCCGCAGGGCAAACGCCGCCAGGCCAGGGGGTGCCGTGTCCTTTGAAAGGGGGGCGGGAGGGCAGAAGACCGGGAGACCTGGAGAGGGCTGCCCTCTGTCCGGCTCTGCGCAGCGCAGGCGCTGGAGGTCAGGGGAGAGCCGGCCAGTGCAGCTGCTTTCGGGGCACCCAGGACAGCACCCACACTCCGCCCCCCGTCAGGCAGCAGCAGGCGGGACGGGGCCTGCCCTTGGCCTCCAGGACAAGACACACGGTCCTCCTCCTGAGGCCAACATCAGGCCCTGGGCACACTGTCCCTGGGAGCGGGCTGACTGTGGACGTCGCGGCCGACCGGTGAGCAATGAAGTCGCGCAGAGAGAGCGGGGGCACAGGGCGCTGGACCCACAGCGGGGCCAGAGGAGCCCAAGAGGAGGAGGGGCGAGGAAGGCCCTGCAGGCTTGCAGTAGAGCAGAGGCTCCGAGACCGGACCCTGCGGCCGACCCGGTCTCCCGCACACCCGGCGGCTGGGACGTCCGTCTCTTCCTGCGCTGTTCCCGAGCATGACCGCCTCTCTCCGAGGCCAGGCCTGCAACCGGAACCAGCGCAGACCACGGACACGCCCACTGCCCTGGCCCTGCCCCCCGCCGCTGCCTCCTCCTTGGTGTGGGTCCCCAGACACGGCAGAGCTCAGGGCGTTGGCACAGCTGGCCCTGCCAGTCCCTACTGACCGCAGCCCTTGGCGCTCAGGCTGGACACGCAGAGGGAAGGCACCTCCCTCCTGAGACACGCGCCTCCACCAGGAGAACCGGGAGGAACGAGAGCCCCCAGCGATGAGCCCTCAGCACAGAACCGCCCTCCACGCCGACCCCCGCCCAGAAGGCTGTCCCTGAGCTGGGGGGCACGCGGGGACAAAACAGGCCTCGGGACCACGATGCGAAGTGAGGTGTGTGCTTCTTAGCGCTAAGGGGACGACTGCGACCAGGAGACGTCTGCACACTGGCACCGCTGCCTCGTGACGTCCCCATGTGGGTGGTCACCTGCACTCTAGATGCACCGCCACCGAGAGCCTCTGATCCAGCCATTTACACGCACGAACCCGCCTCCGCGCTCCCCTCGCCCATCGGGGGGGACTGTCAGCGCGAGTCCCCACAGCCCAGACGGGCCCCTGCCTCCTTACCCGCTGCTCCCCCTGGGGGGGCTGGTGTTTCCACAGCCCTGTGCTCACAGCTCAGGAGGACAGGGGTCACCGTTCAGAGTTCCGCTGGGTTGTCAGAGCCCGTTTGTTTTATCTATTTATTTTTAATTTTTATTTTTTTATCCTCACCTGAGGACACTTTTACATCTATCTTCAGATACAGCGGGAGGGAGAGAGGGAGGAAGAGAGAGAGAGAAACATCGATGTGAGAGAGACACATCGACTGGTCGCCAGCCACACGACCCCAACCGGGGCCGGGGACAAACTGCAACCGAGGTACATGCCCTTAGCGGGAACCGAACCCGGGACTCTCTGGTCCGCAGGCCGACGCTCTAACTGCTGAGCCAAACTGGCCAGGGCTTATTTATTTTTTTCAAATATTTTTCTTTTATTGATTTTAGAGCAAGAGAAAGGGAGAGAGAGAAGCACTGATGAGAAAGAACATCAATGGCCGCCTCCTGCACGCCCCCCACTGTGGGATCAGGCCCACAACCTGGGCATGTGCCCTGACCGGGAATCGAACCGGCGACCTCGTGGTGCAGGGTTGATGCTCACCACCAAGCCACACCGGCCGCACTGTCTGGGTGCACTGAGTTACACATCTCAGAGGACACGTGGTCAGAGGCCGCTGGACCCTACCTTCTTTCTAAGGGTCCCAGCTGGCACACTGCCGTGAGGGAACCCCTCGCCTCTGCCCTGCAGCAGGCCGGACGAGCCGGTTCCCTAGTGACCTGAGAGCAAGGAAATGTGAGTTTCGGGGCTGCCGCTGTCGACGCCCCTCCTTCTCTCCACTTCCTCCCAGGCCGGGGCCCCTGCGCCCCTGGCAGGGTGCTGACGGCTTCTCGGGCTCAGCCTGGCTCCCTCCACAGCTGGTCCCCGCACAGCAGAGCTCGGGGCCGGGCCCCTGCCTTCCCCTCAGCCCTGCCCTGGGCTCCCCAGGGGACACGGATCAAACTCTGCAGGAGACTCAACATGCGGGCCCCCGCCATCCCGCTCGGGCTCAGGAGGCAAAGAGCAAGGTGATCTGCTCTGTGTCCGTACCCACAGCTCGGGCCCCGCACGGGCCAGCCTGCAGGAGCCGTGCAGACCGGCCCGCACCCTCCGCTCCTGGGTCTCCCAGCCACGGCTGACCCGACAGTTACGCCCCTCAGGCTGGACAAGGGTTTTCTGTCTCGTCGTGTCCACGGATGTACCCGCTGCGCTGGTCTTCCCTGTGTCCTCCTTAAATATCATGGGGATCCCGTCCCATCACAAAGCCAAGGTCAAACCCACACCAACGAAACCATGGTACGTCCACGTTCCCCCCGCACGGGGCGGCCTGTCTGTCACGTTAACAAAGGACTGCGCGCCTGGAGGTCCCGGCCGGAGCGGGAGCTCTGACTGGGGCGGGTCTCACTAAGATCAGTGAGTCTCGACCCCTAGACGCAGGTGTCAGCTTTCCGGCTTGGCCCACGGCCGAGTCTCCTCTTGGGCCCAGTCACGCCTGACGGCGCGGTCCCCTGGGGAGGGACCCTGTAAAAATCCACGCACATGCTCTCGGCTTCGGCAGAGCACAGGCCTCTCCTGCCCCGCCGGCCCCTTGGCCTCTCTCCTCCTCGTCTCTGTCCTGCACCCGAGTTACAGTGGCCCGGCCAGGAGTGGGCAGCACACAGGCCAGGACCCAGGGCCCGGACACGGAGGAAGACAGGACCCGAGACTGAGAGGGAGGAGCAGACCTCGGGGGTGAGCCTGCCACAGGAGACCGAGGGTCAGAGGCCCCGTCCCCAGCCCGTGTCCGAGGGCGTCTGAGCTCTGTGGGGAGTCCCTGTGACCTGAGTGGGGTTTGTCCTTAGGTCTCATCACGTGCACCCCGCGAGGACCAGGACAGACGGATCCGCGCGCCCTCCCGCAAGCCTGCTTCTAGGGGCATCGGAGTGGAGATTTGGGGTTACCGCCCAGACCAAATCAGACCCCGAATCTCCTGAGATGAGACATACCGGGACCACTCCTGGGCTTGGCAAAGCCCACCTCCCTGAGCGAACAGACTCGGACCGAGGGCCCTCCGGAGCCCACCTCTGCTCTGAGCGGGGCAGGCGGGGGACCGGCAGGAACATCTGATTTCTGTGCCAACGTCGTGTCTCCCGCTGCTAAGCCAACGGGGATCCAAGTCGTCAGCTCCCAGTGACGCCAGGAGCAGAGCTGGACTCGGGGAGACCCCCGTGCCCGGGGCCCGCGGACCCAGGTGTCCTCCCAGACACCTGCTCAGTGGAGGGCTACACAGGCCTGGCCCTCCTGGGCCCCGGGCGCCTCGGCAGCATGAAGGGAACAAGGCCAGGAGTGGGGGGCGCATCTCCCCGCCCAGGGCACGTGGGCCAGGAAGACACAGGGCACTGCTCTTTGGAACCGGCAGGGTGTGGCCGCCAGGGTGAGGCTCCCGAGTGCAGGAGCAGCACTGGGACCCAGGGCCTCGCCCGGGGAGGACACCAGGACACCGTTAGCCTGCTGGCCCTTGGTCGTCACCCTCTCCTGGCGCCACACGGACAGCCCAGGCGCTGCTGCCCGGCCCCGAAAGGTTGGCCGAGCCAAGGTTCTGCACGTCCCGGAAACGTGGAGGCTGTGAACCGTCTGGGCGGTGAGCAGAGCCTGGAGCTCAGCCGGAGGGGACGGGCTCCCGGGACAGAGTGGTCGCCTGTGGCCAGAGGACCCCTGGGCAAGCTGGTGCCCAGGCCGGCCATCTCCTTCCTTCTGCGCCCGGGGGGATGGGAAAGGGATGGGGGCGATATGAGCTCATTTCAATAATGAAGAGCTTATGAACGTGCCCAGTTTTGATCTTCTCTGATGCATGAAATCCTGGCAGGAACTGGGGTCCTACTTAGGTATTTGAGAGAACTGAAAATAGACTAAAAAAAAATCCCCAAACAACAAGAAACAAGACACCACCCTAATCACAAACGTCAAACAATAAAAAAAGGGAAAGACGTGTCCATCGCTCCCGGGAAGAAGGGGCCTGGCCCGGACGGACCCTCCCGCTCCTGCGAGCGTCCGCACAGCGTCAGGAGGGACGAGTCCTGCCCGTAACACAGAGCAGGCGCCGGGCGGGGAACCGCTCCGCGGAAGGAGCTGTCAGAAAGCCAGTCAGGACTTCTGACAATTCAGAAAATATTCCTGACTGCTTGATCCAGTTCCTAGTGAATCAGGAAAGGGAGAGAAAATATATATTTCAATTTAGATCATGGACCTAGTCCAGCTTCCTGAATCCTGTGCTATGGATAAGGATCCTCAGATTCAGAGGGTAAAACGTACTCCCTCTCTCTTTCCTCCTTCCTCCCTTTCTTCCTCCTTCCTTCCTCTCCCTTCCTCCCCCTCCTTCCCATTCCTTCCCCCTTCCTTCCCCCTTCCTTCCCCTCCCTCCTTCCCTCCTTCCTTCCTCCCCCCTTCCTCCCTCCTTCCCCCCTTCCTCCCTTCTTCCCCTCTTCCTCCCTCCTTCCCCCCTTCCTTCCTTCCTTCTTCCCCCCTTCCTTCCTTCTTTCCTTCCTTCCTTCCTTCCTTCCTTCCTTCCTCCCCTCTTCCTCCCTCCTTCCCCCTTCCTTCCCCCTTCCTTCCTTCCCTTCTTCCCTCCTCCTTCCTTCCTTCCTTCCTTCCTTCTTTCCTTCCTTCCTTCCTTCCTTCCTTCCTTCCTTCCTCCCCTCTTCCTCCCTCCTTCCCCCTTCCTTCCCCCTTCCTTCCTTCCCTTCTTCCCTCCTCCTTCCTTCCTTCCTTCCTTCCTTCCTTCCTTCCTTCCTTCCTCCCCTCTTCCTCCCTCCTTCCCCCTTCCTTCCCCCTTCCTTCCTTCCCTTCTTCCCCCTTCCTTCCTTCCTTCCTTCCTTCCTTCCTTCCTTCCTTCCTTCCTTCCCTTCCTCCCTCCCTCCTTCCCTTTTCCAACAAGCGCGGTGAGTCACAGAAATGCGTTCGCAGAGGAAGGAGGGAAGGCATGGCTGCCACAGGTCACGGGGGTGGGGTGGTGAGCCCTGTCCCCGGGGAGGCTGTGCAGCGAGGCCACCCGGATGCCGAGAGAAGGGCCCGCCCTCCCCGCCCCCCGCGCATCCATCCACCCGATTCTCAGCCTGCACCTCACTGTCCCTTCCTGGATCTGGAACCTGGTGGTTGCCGCGCTCTTCGAGGGGTGCAGAAGTGCCCGTAAGCTACCCAGCGCGGCAAGCGTGGCCCCGACACACACAGGACCACCCCCTGGCGACCAGACTCAGGGTACACGGTTCTCGCCAGACAGGTGAAGAGACAACAAGACAGAGGCCCGAGTCCCAGGCAGGCCCTCTGGTGTCTAAGGAGGAGTCCCACGGGCCACGGGCCCCCCCCCCCCGCCTCGTGGCTCGTGTGAAAGCATCTCAGCAGCCCCCACGTCCACACGAGGCCTGAGCACTGGCTCTGGGCATCTTACGAATAAGTTACAAATACTGACAAGTTAGCAGGTGACCATGTCTCTTTTTCCTTTCCTCTTGTGTTGTTTTTTTAAGTACAGTTTCCCCCTTTGGGATGGACTGAAAACGGGAGAGGCTCACACCGGAGACACCAGCGCCCTCCGGGCCACCCCGTGCGAGCCAGCGCAGGCGCCCAGGCCCTGAAACGCCCTCGTGAGCCCGGCTGTCCCGTCGACGCTGCGGCCACAGCACCGCTGGGGCCTCGCTACCTTCAGTTCAGACTCTGCCCTGAACACGCGGGCTGTTCCCACGCGCACCTCGCACTGAGATTTGGGGACACGGACTCGAGGGAGGTTCTGACACTTACCACACAGGTCTGGCCTCTTGACACATCCTGGACTCGCTGTGCTGCCGGCAAGTCCGTTAAAGGCGGGGCTGTCGGAGCTGTAGGCCCTGAGGACCGACAGCATGTTCATCGGCTTCTCCAGGCCCGGGGGCCCCCGCTCCGGCCTGGGCAGGCCCGCCGAGGCGTCCTGGGCGGCAAGGAGGCCCGGGCTGTGCCATGGCTTCTCGGACGCCTGGGGCAGGGGAGACGCCAGTCCCTGGACGGGCTGCGAGGTCCCCGTGGGCAGCAGGCTGTCCCCACCATCGCCGCCGCCGTCCTTGCTGATGGCCGACGGCGGCTTCCGTGGCGCCTCGGGCTCCGTCTCGATCTCCTCGTCGTCATCGTTGTCCCCCTTGGTGGAGTCCATGTCCTCCGAGGAGGCGATGTCAGACAGGTCCTCAGCCGCGTTCCTGTCTGCGGTGTCGGGGATCACGATCGGGGCGTCGTCTTCCGAGTGGGCCTTGCCGTTGGAGCCCTTGTTGGAGCAGGAGCCGGGGGCCCCAGAGCCCGCCGCGCCCTGGTAGACCCCGAACTGCTTGTAGAAGTCTGAGGGGAAGTTACAGAACACGGGGTCCACGTGGCCGGGCCACGGGCCGCTCTTCTCCCCCAGAGCCTCCTTGACCTGGCCTGGGGCCATCTTCTCCGGGGCAGAGTCCAGGGGCCCCACCACGCTGGCCAGAGCCCCCTCCTTGCTCGGTGGCACCAAGGGCAGCAGGGCCACCTTGCCGGCCTCCCGGGCTTGCTCTTTGCAGTGGACGGCCGGCCCCGCCGCACGGTCTTTGCGTCTCGCCTTGCCCAGGTGGTTGGCCTGCAGGTGCAGGGCCATGAGCTCCACGGAGGACGTCGTGAAAGCGCAGAAGAGGCAGCCGTGCCAGGTGATGCTGTCCTGCACCGTCACCTGGGCGCCCGGGAGCGAGGCGGTGTCCGGCCGCACCGACAGGTCCAGGGGCTCGTACTGAGACTTCTCCGACTTCCTGGGGGCCGCCTTCCCGCCGCCCTTGTCCTCGCCGCCGTCCGCCCCGGGGGCTTTCGCGGAGGGCGGGTCACCCAGGGCCTTGTCCTTCAGGCCCTTGTCCTTCTTCAGGGAGCTGAGCACGAAGCTGTCCATGAACGCCTGCAGGGACCCCTGGAAATTCACGCCGTTGCTCACAAAGCTCTGATAGGCTCTGCCGATCTCGGAGAAGTGGGTGCTTTTGGAGGGGAGGTCGGCGCGTTTCAGGGTGTCTGAAGGAGCCTCCGAGGACATGCCGGCGGCCTGGCTGGGGTGGTCCGCCGAGGAGAGCACCCCGGCCGTCCACGGCTGGGAGGCAGGCGCACCCCTGAAGTCCATTCCGGGGAGCCCCTTGAAGGCGCCCCTCAGGATGTCGGGCCTGATGAACAGAGCAGCTTTGCCGGGCAGCTCGTCCCTGGGGTCCTGGCTGGAGGGCTGGCCCGGCAGGGGCCCCGCTCCGTTCGGCCGCTCTCGGTGGTGCCGCTCCAGGTGGTACTTCAAGGACGCGGACTGGGTGCCGGCGTAGTCGCAGTGGGGACACTTGTAGGGTTTCTCACCTGCAGGGTTTCGGCAGAGGAGAGAGAGAAATGTTTATCTCACTTTGGTGCGTGGAGCGAGGCGAGAAGGACCAACGTTCGCTCTCGGAGACAAAGAGCCCCAACTAATAATTAGTCAGGGAACAACTGCTCCTTAATAGAAGAATAATTCGCACTCTTAAGCTTTTTTAATGATTTTGTACCATTTGGGACCGCTCAGGAATGACATACTATCTACACACAATTAGCTATCTTTTCTTTATCTAACATGTGAGAACGGCTATAGATTTAAAAGCTATGATTATGAAAATTAAGCATAATAATTTAAAACCACAGTGATCATTAAAAGTAGAAGTTTAAAAAGACGACGCCCGTAACAAATGGCTGGTTGCGATATTTTGTGTATACGATGGCTCTGAAATTTGTTTAAATTATACACATGGAAACCATTTTTAAACCTAAAAATTTTATGGCCCTGTTACGCAAGACTGAAATGAATGATTTAAGTCTTGCTCTGCAGTAAATCATGGATATAATTAGCAAATAGCATACAGCACGAGTAATTCATCATTATCTGGAGGGCACCGTTCCAGACGGCTCAGATATCTGCAGTTCTACTGCATTGTTTCTAAATAAAGAACTATAAATACCGATTCCATAAAATATTAACACCATTCCCGTGCGCGAAGACAGCGGCGTGTAAAGACGTATAGTTAAGAGAAAAAAGCAGTCAATAAAATTTAAAAGAAAATGAGTAATAAAAAGGCACAGAACGTATTTAGTTTCTGTATTTGAAATTAGCATTATCTACTGGTCTTCGCAGCGCCCTAAATTTGTGCTAATGGCAGGCCCGACGTCCCCGTGGAAAAATGTGTAATTTACCTGTAATAAGCACTTTCTGGAGAATAAAAATAGCTCTAAGGAGCGTTTTAAAACATATAAGTCCGTTTTCAGGAATTAAATATTTATTTAAGTTCAGCGCCTGACTTCTATTGTTCTTCCCTCCACGGAAAGACACCAGCACGGACGGCGTGGCCTCGCCGTGGGACGGGGGACGGGAGACGGCGCACGTGGGTTCAGACGTCCTGAGACGTGTTAGCGACCAGGGCCTTCCCTGGAGCCTGACGGACAGGCTCCCCGGCTGGCTGGTCCCTGGACACCCGTCCACTCCCACAGCAAGCCCATCGCAAACCAGACCAGGTCGCCGTGAACGCTGAGCTCTGAAGACACCTCCTGAGCCGGAGCTCGGCCGGCGCCATGACGCCTGTGCTCTGGGCGTGGGCATTCGGGGGTGACCCAGCTGACGAGAGAAGGACTCAGGAACTGGGGGTACTGGCCACCTGGTTCCGGGCTCCACGTCACTCCTGACTGAGTGCCGGCCTCATTCTGAGGTGCCTGTGCCCCCCACTCAGGAGCTGTGGGGCTCCCCGGGCAGCTCAAGGTGGCCTGTGGGCCTGGGAGGGTCTCTCAGTGGAGGTCATGGCCCTGGCTGGACCCCCACGTGGATCAAGGGGAAGGCGCTGCCCCCTGACTGCAGGTGCACAGGCCTTCAGGTGCCACCCCCACTTCTCAGCTCCATCCTGTGTGAGGCTCGGACTCACGCCGCCACTGCTATTGGACATCTCGCCAGAGACGGGGACAGCGCGTGGGGCCGGGGCCGTGGACAGGCACTCCTGGGCTGGCCTGGGAGTCGGGGGCCGGTCGGAACAGAGGCAGCCCCAAAGCCCGGGGGGGGGGAGCAGGCACGGGAGAGCCTGAGCGGGAAGTGGGACCTGGCGCACGGTCAGCGGGCACCTGGGGATGGGGCGAGGCCCACGGGACCAGGTGGAGCTCCCACCAGTGCACTTCGAAAACCCAGAGCGGAATCGCTGGAGGTCTTTAAAAACACCCCACACACAATCCCACCTCCACCCCAGAAATTCCGGTTGCCTGTCCGGCGTTCAGCCTGGCACTGGGGCTGTTCGAAGCCCTCGCAGGGGCCCTCCATGCACCTGGGCACAGAGACAAGGTCAGGGCTCCCTGGGCAGCAGCCGTGAGGGAGAGACCAGGGGAGGCTGAGCAGAGACGGACCCCCCCCAGGAGGTGCTGAGAGTCTGGGCTGGGGACCAGGGACTCGGAGCTACTTTGTTCCCCTGGGCACACGACTCCCGTGTTGGGGCCTGTGGAAAGTTGGAGCTCATGTTCTCCGAGGTCTCATGGCAGCTGTAAAACCCAAAGATGCCTGTGCACACATGATACACACCCGAGATGCCTGCACACTCAGAGGTACACACCCACAGACCTGAGATGCCTGTGCACACACGGTACACACCCACAAACCTGGAGATGCCTATGCACACACGGTACACACCCACAAACCCGGAAATGCCTGTGCACACACGGTACACACCCACAAACCCGGAAATGCCTGTGCACACACGGTACACACCCACAAACCCGGAAATGCCTGTGCACACACGGTACACACCCACAAACCCGGAAATGCCTGTGCACACACAGTACACACCCACACACCCGAGATGCCTGTGCACACACAGTACACACCCACACACCCGAGATGCCTGTGCACACATGGTACACACCCACACACCCGAGATGCCTGTGCACACACGGTACACATCCACAAACCTGGAGATGCCTGTGTACACACGGTACACACCCACACACCCGAGATGCCTGTGCACACACGGCATACACCCACACACCCGAGATGCCTGTGCACACACAGTACACACCCACACACCCGAGATGCCTGTGCACACACGGTACACACCCACACACCCGAGATGCCTGTGCACACACGGTACACACCCACACACCCGAGATGCCTGTGCACACACGGTACACACCCACACCACCCGAGATGCCTGTGCACACACGGTACACACCCACACACCCGAGATGCCTGTGCACACACGGTACACACCCACACACCCGAGATGCCTGTGCACACACGGTACACACCCACACACCCGAGATGCCTGTGCACACACGGTACACACCCACACACCCGAGATGCCTGTGCACACACGGTACACACCCACACACCCGAGATGCCTGTGCACACACGGTACACACCCACACCCGAGATGCCTGTGCACATACGGTACACACCCACACACCCGAGATGCCTGTGCACACACGGTACACACCCACACACCCGAGATGCCTGTGCACACACGGTACACACCCACACACCCGAGATGCCTGCACACTCACAGGTACACACCCACACACCTGAGATGCCTGTGCACACACAGTACACACCCACACACCAAGGAAAGTGCAGAGTCGTTCACACAGAGGAACTGATGGGTGAGTGAGCACCTCTGATCTCCCAAGTCAGGAGGGGAATTGAATGAAAAACCAGAAACGAGGCCCCTGCTCTCACGACCTTCAGGAGACATGTCCTAGGTTATAAATGCAAGGGACGCTCACACACACGTGCACACAACATGCTTCAAACACACACACACCAGTGTGTACCTTCATTCAAGCCACTGCTGATGTGAAATGCAGACAGGCCTTGACCTCGCTGCCCAGGAGAACACTCACCGAGAAGGGAATGGCCCGTCCCTAACATCGGAGACCCAGGGCTCCAGGCCTGGGGTGTTTTCAAGGGTTCTGTGGCCACACACGACCGTGCAGGTGGCACAAAGCCCTCCCCACCCTTCTCTGCCGGCCGCACGCCCTCGGCCACGCTCTCCACTGTCTGCTCCCTAGGGCTCCGGCCCTGCCTGTGCCCAAAGCAGGGAAGTGGGGTGACTGCTCCCATCACCCCCAGGTCCCCAGATCAATGCTCAGGGGGATAACCACCCCCGCCTTTTGGATCTGTGTTTGAAAAAACTCACACAAACCCCATTGGTATTTTCTTCATGATCCCTCATGACTTGACCAACCACCACCCTCTACGAAGAGCCTCCCCCCCTTCCTGGCTGCACCTCCGAGGGCCCAGGAAGCCTCCAGGTTGGCAGCGTGCCCGCCGTCTGGGACGGGTGCGCCCCCCGCAACACCCTCAGGCCTCCCGAGGGCCTCCTTTGCCACTGGGCCCGGGTCGGATGCCCAGGACCCAGCTGCTGCGCACGGGCACAGGGAGGAGCCCCGCGTGCCGCCAGGGCCCGCGCCCCCTGGGCCGGGACACGTGTGAGTCCACCTGTGCTGGGGGCCGCTCCCCAGGTGGTGCCACCCATCTGGCCACTTGCTCCAGCCCAATGCAGGGCTGGCCCTGCGCCCTGGGCTCCTGCCCAGGAGCCGTCAGCGGGCACCCGCTCCCTGCCCAGCAGACTCTGCCGAGCCCTGCGGAGGTGCTCCTGACGCAGCCTCACGGCACTGCCACCCGGACCCTCCAGCAGCTCCGTCGAGTTGACCGATTGGCCACTCAGGCCTCAAATGAGTCCAAATCGACTGGCGGGACCACTCCTGCTGCCCAAGCTTTCCGGGGTCACCCCGCGATGTTTGGGGCCATTATCTCGCGTCTGTTGTGGGAGCCTCAGACTCAGGTCTTTCCAGCCAGGTGGTCACAGGCGGTGGGAGACCTCGGGCTGGGGACCCACCCCTCCCGCAGAGTGGCCGCCGCTCAAGTCCAACCAGCAGACACGGGACCGCGGATGCTCTAGGAAAAGCCACACGTCCAGATTTCTATGAGCGATACCCCAGTTTTTAAATACCCCAAAGGGGCTGGGGTATACGCCGGTTTCCCACCAAACAAAGCAGGTCAGGGCACCGGTGCCCTCCTGCGAAACGTCTCCCGGCCTCTCAGGGAGTAACGTGGGCCCCGCGGCGCCCTTCTGGAGAACGCTTTGCCCGCACAGGCATTGTGAGCGTCAGCGGCCACCGCGATGGGCTCACGGTTCAGACGGGTGCGGTGGAGCCATGCTCCTGAGCCCCGTGTGAGTTCGCTAACAGTGTCACCCATAAATTCAGTAAAAGGGGGGGAATCATTGGAACCAGCTTCCACGGACGCAGGGCGAGCTGTACTTTCCACGTTGGAAAAGTGCTGGCGATGTCCGCAGGGAGCCAAA